TCCTCCCCCCGGATGTACTCCCTCCTCCCCTCCCTCCCTCTTCCCCATTTCTCATTCCCAATATCGTGAACAAACCTAACCTCGGCCCCCACGCGCCCGCGTCGTTGTGCGAAAACGGTGAAGAACCCGCAGAGCAGCAGCTGTGGTTCACAACCACTCGAATAATTATTATTTACTTTTTTTGATGGGGGGGGGGGAGGTGGACACAGCAGGGTAGTACCGGGTGATTGAGAGAAGACGCAGGTGCGCGCGGGTTTTGCCTATCTTCGACTCGGCGGGCGCATGGGTCCAGGTCCAGGCCTGGGGAGAGGTGAGGATAGGCAAACCCGCCCGCACCCGCGTGTTCTCTGAATCACCCGGTACAGACAACGTGGAGCACACTCTGATTACAACCGGAGTGCACTCGCAGTACACCCGGAGTACACCAGGTGTACACCCGGAGTGCGCCGGAAGAACAGCCGAAGTGCACCCGAAGTGTGGAGGAAGTGGAGTACACTTGGAGTACACCCGCGGAGTAGCCTACGATCAGTCCTGGACGACATAGAGGCGAGCAGTGCCCCAGTCGTCGACGTCGACCACACCACGCGGGCCGGCCGTGGGGAAGGCCCCGGCGCTGAGCTCAGCCGGCGGGGGCCGTCAAGACCCTCATGCATTAGGCACGCAACCCCCACGCCCATTAACATTGGAGCGGCTCGCGAGGTGTTTCCTCTCCGGGGATCTCTTTGTGACTCGGCAAGAGCCGGCCGGACCGGACCGCAAGAGAGGAGAGCGGGCAGGGGTAGGAGGAGGAGGAGGGCTTTTCCTGAATTATTTTCCACGTCTTTTACAAGAGACACACGCTCGACGCTCTGGCCGCGCGCCCTATGCCGCTGCCGCGCTCGGTCCACCAGGCGCGAGTCTCTGGGGGGAGCCCGCGTTGGCGCGGTGGTGTAGACCGCCCCCGCTCCGCAGGCGTGTGCGGCGGCTCAGCACGCCCAAGGGGGGACTGTAGGCGTGCATACGGGGTACAGGCCGCCCGCCCACCGCTCTGCACGCCCACTTTAGCTACCATGCCGTGGACATATGCTTTATATTCGCGTGTGCAGACACTCCACCAAACGCAGTGCGGTTGACTTTGCTTGCCAAAATTTGGGCGGATTTTTTTTAATGCCGATTTTTGTTGACTATTCTTTTTAGAGTCTGCACGGGGGTCGCTATGCGTGCCAAACATTTGGTCGTAATTTTTCAAGAAGGCCAACTCTTTGACCGATCAGAAGTCTGCATACCTTGCGATTCTTTCTGAGAAGACCAAATGTATTTTTGGCAAGCAAAAGAGGCTAAACATTTGGCATCTCTAGAGAGAAGGCCAAGGTTTGGCATTCGCAAAATACAAAGCATTGAGAGTGGAATAACATATTCGGCACATGGACGAAAAAGTATAGTGTGACGTATGACAGAAGCTTCTCTCGCCGTCCTGTTCTTTTTTTGTTGTTTTTATTTCTCTTTTTGTGCTCATATATCCATGTGGCACGTTCGTGTTTGCATTCGTTACGCGCAGCTTTGGTCCGCCGGTCCGCTGGCGCGAGTAGCGGACGGCAGTTGGAAAAGGGGGGGGGGGATATCAGATTCGCAATTCCAAAAGGGCCAATCTAAGATTTACACGTCTGGAAATCGATACTGTTCCCCTTTTTGTTTTTCAAAATCAGCCCCGCACGTTTCCACTCACCCCGCTTAGACTACACTGAGAAAAAAAA